TGCTGGTGCAGTGGGTTCTCACCAGCATGCTTCTTAAACACAATTCCTACTGCTTGGGCCTGCGAGGTCGGCCAGTGCCTTCCCCTAAGCCCCTACAGTGGGATACTTGCCTTGTAATCAGTCTTCTTGGCCCCACATGGGCAAAGGAGGAAGCGAAACAGGATGGCCTGTGGACTACTTACTGATCTTTAGCCTCACTCGATTTTTTTCAGAATATTCCCAATTCAGTGAAAAAACATTAAAATGTTTCCAGTAGATTACAAATGAAATTGGACTTTTCTGACATATGAATACACCTGTGAAACCATCATAATCAAAATAATGTGTTCATCAACCCCAACAAGAAATATTCATATTCCATGGACCCTTCGTAATGTTTCTCACCTCTCCTAACCATCCCCACCCCCGGGCAACCATGGATCTGCTTTCTGTCACTCTCGATTAATTTGCACCTTCATCGTATTCCGTTGTGAACTGTACTTTACTGGGTGCTGCACATTTTTGTATTCCTGTAACTGGTCTTGAGCTGTGTTCCTGGAACTGGTTAAGATATTTGGAAACAGTATATAACTCTTTCAGGTCTTGCTTTTAAGCCAGTTAGGCAGAACTGAGAAGGGTTTACACCAAGGCTAACTTGTCCCCATTACTGAGGTAAAAACTCTTCTGAGTACTCTAGTCCAGGGGGCCCCAACCCCGGGCCGTGGACTGCTACCAGTAAGTGGCCTGTTAGGAACTGGGCCACACAGCTGGAGGTGAGCAGCAGGTGAGTGAAGCTTCATCTGTATTTGCAGCTGCTCCCCAGAGCTAGCATCACTTCCTCAGCTCCACCTCAGATCATCAGGCATTAGATTCTCATAGGAGCACCGGTTCCTGGTGCCAGAAAGGTTGGAGACCGCTGCTGTAGATATGCCACCCCAGTCTCTGTATCCGTCTTTTCATGGCCTTCTCCCTGGGTGTCTGTATTTCCAACTCTCCCTTATAAGGACACTAGTATTTGCAGCTGCTCCCCAGAGCTAGCATCACTTCCTCAGCTCCACCTCAGATCATCAGGCATTAGATTCTCATAGGAGCACCGGTTCCTGGTGCCAGAAAGGTTGGGGACCGCTGTAAATGTTACAACTATGGGGTTTTTCCACACTGACTGGTGAGAAAAGAAACTACTGCTGGCCCTGTGTGAGCTCCAGAAATAGTTCCCTCTAATCCTTTTAGGTGGTTTCCTCACACATAAGCACTGACCAGTACTCACTTAGCTGAAGACTCCAGGAGGACACCCTGCAGATCTTTGGGTTCTCTGTGCAGCTCTCTGCAAACTCTAGCCACTTTGACTTTTCTGACTGTTTCCTCAATTTAAGCAGACCACGAAGTCTCTTCCTGGGTTTCCTCTTCCTGCTCCACAACCAGGAAACTCTAAGCAGTCGGCTGGTGCAAGCAGAGGGCACACCTCACTTGTTTGCCATCTCTCACAGTTCACTGTCCTCCCTTGTCTGATGTTCCACGTGTTGAAAACTGCTTTATGTTACTTTTTACATTGTTTCAGGTTGGAGGGTAAATCTGGCATGGTAGTCCAACCTTGGCTGGAAGCAGAAATTCCCAAAATTACTTTTGATAATGACTATGATAAATGTTGCAATATATTTGATATTCTGAACTCTTTCATGTTTCACTGTCATATATATGGGTAACAAGCTGATAAAACTCTTACTGAGGAAGTGGTTAGATATAGTACATCAAAATGAGTTGTATTTTCTGCACTCAAAAATAATGTAAAAAAACGTTTTGGTGTATGACTGCCAAGTATTCTACTGTGGAAAGAACTGTTCTGAGATAATGGTTGTAGCAGAGATGTTAGTGTTTTATTCATATCCCCGTGTCTCTGTCAGGGAGAGGGCTGTCCTCTACTTGCCCAAACCCACTTTGCTTGGGTGCATAGCCAGCTAGAGTCCACTGGGAAAGGCTCCTGCGGGCAGCTCATAAACAATGACTGACTTAAAACAAAACAAAACAAGGTAAACACACACACACACACACACACACACACTCTGTTGCCCCTGATCAGGGCAACTTTGAGGTGTGGCTTAGACCGTCTCTAGGGCTCTTTGGGGCGTCTGTAAGCTACCCGCTGTGGGACTTGACTTGATAAGGCAGCCGGTTTGGATTCCTTCTCATCCCTGTCTCACTTCCCCACTCCCTTACTGGGTTTTATTGGAAACGCTTCCTACTAAATCACTGTAAGAAGTGATCTATTTCGCAATTGATAGAATGGGTAGGTACAATGGGTTAGAATGCGTACATTAAATATACATTAAACATACCAGTAACTTAAATTGTTCTCTCTAGATAGAACTGTAAAACGGCTTCATCATGTGAAATTATTCTTTGCATGGCGTGCATAATAAACCATGTCTTGGATGGTACTTCTTTGAAATGTTAAGCCCAAACCCTAAGGGCCTGTGCTGAACTTGGGTCCTGGTGATGGCTCCCACATCCTATCGCCATTTTTGACCAATCGAATGTCTCATTAGATAGTCCCCAACTTGCCCCTATCCCCCGAGCTGACTCCCTTTGTTCTCACACCACTTTTCTGTATTTATCTCCACAGAGCTAACACCCAGCCTGGTGCTCTAGCATTATCCATGCTTCCTGGTTATACTAGTAAGTAATATCCATCTCAGCTGGTTGCCTCCAGTGGACCTGTCTCTCCCCAAAGGGGTCCAAACGGTCTGCCGATCTTCACGCCATGGAAGTAGTGGTCCTTATTTCAGACAGACGGATGTCCCACCCAACTCTCAAATACCAGCACAGTCTGATGAAAGTCTAAGCCTTATAAGATGAGGCTACGTCCTGTCAGATGTGGAAGGCAACCTGAAATTTACCCCTCACCCCTAGTGAAAGTTCCTTTTGGAAACGGGTTGGGGTTTCAATTAGGGTTTCTCAACCTCAGCATTTGAAAAACAAAGATGGTAAGACCAAGGGATCAAGATAACTATGAAGGAATTATAAGCTTTCTTATTTGTATGTAATCTTTTGTTGGCAGAAGAATTTTCAGTTGTTTCCTATGAGAAGTTTCTCTCATCTCTTATCAACACATTATTGACATATGGTTAACCCTATCTCTCCTTACACAAACACAGCCCACATCAACCTTTTCACTCCTGCACCAACAAATAATGTTTCTTTGCCCATCGGAATGGCAAAGAGAAAAAGAAATGGAAATATTCCATATTCTTGTGGGAGTCAGGAGATGAAAACGCTCATACACTGTCAAGGATATAATTTGGCAAGATGTATTAAAACTTGCATGAAATACATGTATGTTTTTTGACCCGTAAGTTCTATTTTATCACAATGAAATAACTGGAGAAGATATGATGTGTGTAGAGGATTTTTTAAAAAAATAATGACAATTAGAAACAACAGGGAGATGATTATATTATGGTATAGCTATATTAAAGGATATCGTGTAGGCATTACAAATAATGATGTAGATATATATTTGATCGGAAAGAATTTCACTATTAAGTGGAAAAACAGATTACAAAAACAGTGTGTACATGTATAGAAAAGCGTCTGGAAGGATAGACACTAACATTTTTAACCATATCTTTAGAATCAGGTATGATTTATATGTTTTAAAAAACTTTTCCCCCTTAAAATGAATATGTACTCCCTGTGTAACATAAAAATAAAGAGCCAATAACAGACACTATTAACAGCATGGTTCTGAAATAATAATAGCATGGTCTACAAAAGCAAGGCTTTCCATTGACAGAATGGGAGATGCTTTCTCTCTGCTCTATTCCAAGAATGTCAAATGTGAACCAAGCTAGAATCCAGGAAAGGGGACACTCGGGCTGCTTCTAATCCAAGTGGGGCCAAAGGCAAAAGACATTTAGAGTCTTCTCAATCTCAGTAATTACACAGATCCTTACTGTTTATATCTGCTTGTCTTCTCTTAATTGTATTTATTCATTTAAAGTCTTATTTGATTGTGAAATCTCTCTGTATTTTAAAGTCCCTATTCTTGTACAGAAAGTTAAGTGTGTGCATAGACTAACTTTAACTAACTAAACACTAGCTGTGTGAGCCAGGTGCCAAGGGCCATGAAGAAGAAATGGAGCAGAGGCTCCTCTGTGCTTGGTCTTTTTTTTTACCATCCTAATGCCTGCAAGTGAAACAGCTCAGCTACTTTCCTATCTGCATATAAATATGTGGACCTGAAGGGTAAATTACACCCCAGAACAAAATGTTTGCCTAATAAAACAATAAAACTGGGGAGGAAAAATAAAAGAATGTACAGAAACAAAGAGAAAAGGAGCTTCTTTTCTTCCCTGCTCCAAATGATCTTCTATGTATAAAAGACGCTAGAGAATGGCAATCCCATTTCCGCCCCTAAAGCAGATGCCCTCCCATTAGAAGGAATGCCAGTCATACCACATCAAGAATAAGCCACACTTGCCCCAGGTCCTACTGAGGAAATGATGCCTATTATCTCAAGGCGTACCACTCTATGAAGCCAGCTGGTACTTTTAGCAGGATGTTGAAAGACTGATCACTGACCTTAGGGTCAAAACAATCCCAGCCGATGTCAAGAAGCCAGGCACCAACACACCACGACCTCTTACACTTAGCTGAAAGCTGGGCAGCCACAGGGAAGGTGTGGACTGAAGAATTGGACCTACCATTTATATGAAAGTAGATTTGAGAGGAGAGATTCTCTTTTCCCCCAAAAGATAAGAGAGCTAATCCTACCAGACATACAGCAGTTTGTGTACTTCACGAAGAGTAAAGTACAAATTTAAGAATCCAAAACTATAAAACTGTCCTAGATAACTGATTCCATCTCATTTCATTCTGTCACAGAACTTGTGCTTGGGCAACAAGGGCATTTCACCCCAGTTTACGGAGATTTAATAACTTTAGTCACTTGTCCAGCCTAAGTATGCCCATTGTCACCCACACTCTCATTGTTTTTTTTTTACATAACAGACACATTTATTTACTCTATTTCAGACATTTTATTTTTATTCTAACATTAGGCTTTGATAAATACAAAAAGATTCACAAGTACAAAATTTCGGTATAGTTTTGTGGCAGTTAAAAAACCCATGAAAACAAAACAATTTTTAAAACAATTCATCTCCACATAGTTGAGTGACAGTCTTCTGAAGTGTGGCTGTAAAAATGGTAAAAAACGATTCGCGATTATGTTAAAATTTTTGATGACTCTTTTTCACTTGTTTCAAGAAAACCATCTTGTGACATTTACACTGGATGGAATCCTTACCTGTATTTTACCCGATTCCCTGTCTCTTTGGGGCTTCTGAAGCAGGAAAAGCTGGATTTAGATTTATAGCTATTATTCTTTCCAATGTTAAAAAAAAAATAACGCTGAAAAAGATCAATGAATGTTTCATAGTAGCGTTAATTTCTGCAAGGATTTAATTTACATATTCACACTGCAGATGAATTACATTTGATGAGCTTTTAGGTTTTCAAAGTATTTTCAAAAATTCTCTTGAAAAGATTAATTCTTTCTATTCCTAGGATTCTGAGTAAAAATGACAGACTGGAACAGGGGAAGTACAAGTTTATCCTTCTGTTTTCTTACCTACTAACCTCTTAGACACAGAGAACAGATCTCCAACGGTCTTTGTTCAGCAGCTCTAGGTATGGCTGAGATTAAAAAACCAAAAACCAACAACACTCGCTTTACTCATAGTTAATGAAAATATTGCCAGGATGTCGTAGACGTGAGGACCAGACAGGCACTGCAAAGACAGATCGGAAGCTGTCTCACAGTTTAGACTTTTTTTTCCTCTGCTTAATAAGGAATAGGTTATCATTGTAATCCTCATCCAAGCAGCTCTCCTTCTTCCTATGCCTGCCCTGCTTGCCCCGCTTGCCGTCTTTGGGCAGCTTATCTTCTCTTGATTTGTGGTGATGTGAGTGCTGAAAGGACTTGTGAGGCCTCTGGATTTTGAAAGTGCCAGGAAGAGAGTGGATTTTGGGGCCCCTGGGAAAGTCCTCGTCCATGTCGTCACACCTGCTGGCCTTCCTGTGCTTATCACGTTCTCTGTTGCTCCTGCTCATGGTTCCTCTTTGGGTTTCTTGCTTTTCTTGAGGCAACCTGTTGTTCTTCCATGAGGCCTGGCTCTTCTTCGCATCATGGTGGGACCTCTGATTTGCTGCTTCCATATGAGGCCTCTTGAACTGCCTTGGAAAATCTCCATTTTTCTGGAGTTCTGGAAAATATGAAAGTATTTCTGCATATTCTGCAGCTAGACAGTCCATGCAGAGCTTTCACAGGTCTGTAAGTAACTTAGCAGAGAGGGAAGTCAGACATTTAAAGGCATTAATGATATGACATTCTAAAGAGTCCTTACTAAGGTAAAAATCACTCCCTAAAAATTGTATGGTTGTGGCTCTATATTTCTGATTGCTAAAAATGGTAACATCCAGAAGTCCAATGATCTTTATTCTGTTTGGTACAATTTAACTAGATGAAACGATGCAGATGAGGACCCATGAGAGCAGTAATCATCTTAGCTATGTGAAGAAAAGTCATGTCTGACCAACTCAAGCCCACGACAACAACGTGAAGCAAGATGCATAAAATGTCCTTCTGATAGTCTCAAAAGACATTTCAATACCTCTCTGCAGATAAAGTCTGGCCACAGTACTTACAAGTGGATGCCAGACTGGACAGATTATTTTTCTAGAGCAGAGATCGCTGGCTTGGAGAGTTGGTGTGCACATGTGTACAACCATGTGTATCTCAGAGGTTTCGGGGCCAGATCTGATGGTATATTTTGTCAGGACTTGGCACTCTTACTACAAACGTCTGATGGTAGTGATTCTGGATAGGGTAGGTGGGGGACAAGGTTACAGTGAAGGATGACAACTAATATGTCAATAAAAACTTCAAGGATTAAAGAAGTGCCCCCCGCCCCAAATAAAACGAAGTACAAAGTAGTATATTTAGGGGACAAAAAGATGAATTCTAGAATATAGAGCAAAAATAATTAATTCCTTAAAGCCTTCAGCATAAAATAAAAATTCCAATGGATCATAGCAAACCTCAAAGTGGATCTGTGCCACAGAGCTGCCAATATAACAGGTTAAAAATAAAGTTTTTTTCTCTGATTATAAGACTTATAAACACTCATTACAGAACACTTGGAGAATACAGAAAAGTATAAAGAAAATAAAACAGAAGCACCCATAATCCTTTAATCCAGAGATGACATTTTGGTGAATTTCCTTTTAATCTTTTTAAAAAAGCCTGGAAAAGAATAACAAAAAGGCCAGAAGAGTCAACAACGTATAAGTTAACTTGAAAAACACAGAACTATTTTGTCCTGAAAGCAAGAAAAATAATTTGGTAAACCATCTTGAAGTATATTGCAAGACAGAACAGAAATAGTGAAAACAGGCCTATATTATTACATAATTTGATGAGAAAGGACTTTATGTTAGCAACAGTAAATAAAGAAAGCACAGAGGGTGACTGTGGACCTGGAGCTCTGTTTGTTAATCATGGCCAAAAAAAAAAATGACTTCCTGGGAAGCTCCAGGAATTACCAGAAATCATCTAGCAGAGAAAGCCTTTCTTTCCATGAAAAATACTAGAGATAGACAAAGGGAAAAAATAATCACCAGTCAAATAGAAAAATCTCAAAGGAGCCTTTAAGAATTCTGCACATATATGGATAGAAGTATTTTCCGGCTATTTTCTAAAATGGGATCATTATGTTAGAAGAATGTTTATTGTGAATAGATTATAACACAACATTTCTGAAGTGGTTATTCGATTTCTGGAGATCAAAGTTCCAGTTTCTATGGTGATTATTAAAAACACTTTCTGTGCTGACCAATGACCCTCAAAGCAGGCAAAGACATTGCAAAAAAATAATAAATTTAGGAACTACTGCAAAGGTGATCTAACGAGAAGTCTAATAACATACCTTTTACTTTCCGTTTAATTCTCTGTTCTCGCTCCCGAATTTCATATTTGTCGTCATAGTAGTAGATGAATGGAGATGTTGGAAAGGTCTGGTTAAACATCCGCCTTTCTGCACATTCCTGCAAATTGTATGTGAAATTAGGAAGTCACGAGGACACACTGTCCAGACAACCTTTTTACAAGATCATGGACCACTGCAATCGCAGATGAGCCCCACGTCACCGATACTCACCCTGTGGCTGCAGGATGTGGTCTTGCTGGGACTCTAGGAGGTTCACCCAGCCTAACACCCAATCATGTTTACACGCTATTCTTTCAGACCTGGATTTTCTTCCCTTACTTCTTTACCTATGAAACCCTTATCTCTTTTCAATCTTCTCTGCCAAACCCGCCCTGAGTCAGAGGTAACAGCAATGTCTGGGGGTGGGTGGGTCCCCACTGCACATGCTTCAAATCTGTTAGAGGGTTTATTTTATTTGGTCTTATGCTGTATTAGACCTTTGCTTGTCTGTCTCTTCAACAGCCTTCCATCAGGTGCTTCTCCTCTTTTTCTCTTCACGTTCACACCCTGCATGTGGGTATACATTTTTAGCCCTCTGCTCTTTTCCCTCCACACAAGTGGTTTGTAAGCTATTTTAACTCAATTTTTACTGCTCACGAGGGCAGTTGATTCTTATGGTGGGGAGCAGGGTGGTGGTGGGTTGTATCTAGTTTGAAAATGCTCCTAGGTGATTCTGACACACCCCAAAGGTACCCTCTCTTCTTTTTGCTTCCTCACTCAAGATGAGGTCACTCTGCTCTTCATCAGCCTTGGACAGCTCCTTACTCTCGTGGCTCTGGCCCTCCGTCAGCTGGCAGCTCCCACAGCCACATAGTTGGCCTGAATCACACCCCATATAGCAGGCTTTGTTTATTAGGATCTGTGACACACACCCATTCTGCATGTCTGAAACCAAATGCTAAATTTTCTTTGAAAGAGGTTTCCCTTTGGAACTTTTCCATTTCTGTCTTTTGTCATCTGGCCTAAAATTTGTTTGTAAGTGTTTATTATTTCTTAGGTAGGTATTAAAGAAAAATTAGAACACCTCTTAGCAAGAAAGTATATGAAAGATCTGCATAAAGTTTATCTGATTTATCATAATTTTGACATTAAATACTTGATTTGTAATTCTAAGATATCTGACCAAGCTGGTACATACATACACTTAGGAACATCATTTGCTGAGCTCAAAAAATTATGAGTCATTCTAAATATACACTTAAGTACTGAAAATAAAGTAATGGAAATCTGTACCTACCATTAAGCTTTATCAAATCATAACATTTTACCTTAATTTACCTCAGTTTTCTTCTCTAAGAATTAAAGCATTATCAATATAACTGAAATCGTTTGTAACTTTTCCATTCCAGAAGTTGCCATCGTCTTAAAGTTGGTGTCTCCCATCCTTACATGTTTTTGTACTCTTACTGCTAATGAATATTTCAATAAGTAATAATGTGAGTTTGAAGTGTTCAGACTTCATAAAAATGTTATTATTCTGTAAATATTTTGCGATGGCTTTAGGTTATAATAGCTTCACAGAATAAGTGGAGTAGTGTTTTCTTAGTTTATGTTTCTGAACAAAGGTTCAGTAAAACTTGACTATAAAACTATCTGGGTCTGGTGTATTTCATTGGGGATTATTATGATTACTAATTCAATTTCTTTAGTGGTACTGGTTCATGTAGGTTTGTTTTTCAGTCATTTTGATTAATTTATATTTTCTAGAGAATTATTTAATCTGTATTATCAGATCTAACTTTACCTTTATGCTTTTGGTTATGTTGATGCTACTAATTTTGCTTTCTATTTCAATAATTTTGGTTCTTATCTTTATCATTTTCTTCTTTCAGCTGTCTTTGGATTTATTCTGTTGTTGACTTTCTGGATATTATGCAGTTTGAAAGTTATAAGGCAAACCTATATGGTAACATAAAGAATTGTTCCTATAAACCGCTATCCATGGTGGTTCCAAGTTCCTAGAAGAAAGGATGTTCATGAAGGACCTGGTTCTAAGATTCTGCTATGGTCTGGATGTTTGTGTCCCCCCAAAATTCTTATGTTGGAACTTGAACCCCTAATGGAGTGTTTAGGAAGTGATTAGGTCATGAGGGCGGAGCTCTGATGAACAGGATTAATGCTCTTATAAAAGAGACTCTACAGAGCTCTCTGGATGCTTCTACCATGTGAGGACAGAGCAAGAAAGTGCCCTCTATGGGGAAGTAGGCCCTCACCAGACACCGAATCTGTGGGAACCATGATCTTGGGCTTCCCAGACTCCAGAACTGTGAAAAATAAATGTATCTTGTTTATAAGCCACTCAGTCTATGGTAGTTTGTTTAGAGCAGCCTGAATGGACTAAGACAGATTCTAACCATAAAATACCAAGAGCAAATTACAACTACACAAGGTACTAGAGATCCTGACATACTGCCAGGGTCCCGCTCAACCTTTCACATCCTCCTGAAGTAGTCTCACTATACAGTGACCATCAGTTCCTGCAGCAGTTTATCTCCTGTGGAGCTGCCTGAGACTGTTCCTGCCTCCCCAATTAGGGAGTGAGTAGAGTTAGGGAAGGATGATGCCACATTCACTTCACAATATCTTTCACACGAAGAAGCTATTCAATAACATCAATAGAGCTGAATTTCTGAAACTGAAGGGGAGCGGTCCTCGGACATCTTTAGTGACCTGCATAGTCTCCTTTTTGGATCCTGTATAGTCTAGACTGATGTGACTATACAGAGCTATACAGTATTGTAAATATTTTCCAAAGCTAAATGTAAATTGTATTTTGATTATCCACATCGCTGGTCCCCTCCATTAGCACAGACAATGGATAGTTGGCTATATAATTTATCTACTATTCTGGATTAGCCACACCACTGATCTTCTTCATTAGTGTGGATAATCTAGAGTTCTTCATCTATGGCAGCAATGAGGCTGCCAAATTTGCTTTATTATAATTTAAAAATGATCTAACTCTAGATTTCAGGGATAAATTCCAAATGCTTTTAATATATTTCCTATCTACATTAACAGGAGTGACTAATAAGCCGTATGTGTTCAACTATAATTGTTTTTCTTTAACTGAACAAACATAAATGCTAAAATTATACCCCTCTGCTCTAAAGAGGCAAGCAAGCATAAACCGTACATCTATGTGATTTGCGTGGCAGTGGACTGCTTATGTGAGTATGTTCCCTAAACAGTATTGGCTACATCTGAATTTTGGCAACAAGAAGGAATGTAGAGAGCAGTAAAAGATCTCGAAATGATAGTTTTGTAAAAAAAAAAAAAAAAAAAAGTATTCTCTAACTAGGTTTTCAATGTGAGTTCTATAGAAGGGAAGCAGGTACATGGTGGGGTCTCTCCATCTTTACTACCACACTATGGATTTGATCACATTGAATGCAGCAGCCAAACGTCAGTGGCGAGAGATCTTTCTCTACAACTTCTTTGCTTTGGAGATAAACAGACTGGAGATCTGAGAGAAAAAGTGGGTCGTTCAAATCACATGGTTAAATCAGTAGCAGAGCAAAAAGTAGAAATGAGGATCAGAACTTCGTGCTAGCTTTCTTCCCCTTTACTCCACAGTCTTACTGCCACAATGTGGAAGATAAACCTGATCTGTTGATGGACTCTGTCCAGCGCTTTTTCTCAGCCTTTCTCTCTCACCACACTGTAGAGCTCCAGCCCTGAAGTCTGCACAAGTGAAATGCCACGGTCAGAATTCAAGATGTGACCTGTGATACCACCCCCTCCTACCGCTCACACCCCTATCCATTTTGAGGACTCTCTACCGTTGTATGCTGTCTACCTCCTGTCGTCAGATCTGATTGGATATTAGGTTATTTTGGTTTCTAGACTGTTATGAGTCTACCTGGAGACTGGGAATGCAGTTCTCTATAGGCATTCTCTCCTGCTTGTGTCACTGCCTTTCGCCCTCTACCTTAGGATTCCCAGATGTATGGGCTCCGAGTCTATTCTTATTGCAGCCTGTCTCTGGAGTGAGCTGCTGCTGATTCACACTTAATGAGACAACTAGTTAGGAGCCTCAGTCCCACCTCACAGCAAGAAGTTCTTTCTGTTTTGAGATCTCAGCATCTAGAGCACAGAGAGTTTGGCCCTTGCAGTTGGGGTTAGGGGAAACTCAGGCTGGATAGGGAATGTGGACATTTGTCAAAGAGGCCGGCTAGTTGATGATACAGAACCTCTGTCTTTCTACTAGTGAGTGTCACAGTTTACTTGTGAGTGATGAAGATTTAACTGAACATGGTACTTCAGAAAACTGGAGATACTGCAGAACTATGTTGAAAATCTAAAGTCATGATTTGGCTGTTTCAGAGTAAGGGTAATCGTAAGCACTCATGTGAACCGTGACCATTCTGTTGATTACTATTACTTGTCTGATTGACTTGATAAGCTGTATTTGTCTTAGCCTAACTTATTCACATATATTTAAAACAATTAGAGGAACATGCTCTGACAGATCTGCGACTCTGGCAGGGATGGGAAAAATAAATCAGCTGAAAATATATTGCTACTTCAGGATGTTAGTTTATAAAAACGTAAGCATTCAGGTGTATATTCTTTTTGAGTTCATCTTTTAGCAGCCACTCCCTGAACAACAGAGTGCTTTATGCCCAAATGCCACTTTGACTTACGTGTCCGTAATGGCCTTCTTGACCACAATTGTAGCAATACGTTAAGGCTGATTGTCCAGAAGGGGTCTTCGGCTTTTTGGGTGGTCCGGGTTTGGTCTGTAACGTGAATATTTGTGAGAGTTTATTAAAGGTTAGAAGAAAATCATAACCACATTTTAGGAATTTCTGGTGAGGTGATGAGGACCTAAACTACAAGAGTAATAAGGATAAGGAAACAGATCTGGGAAATACATTAGGAAATAAAACTGGTATCACTTGAATACTAAAGAGATACAGCGAATGAGGGAAAGGAGAAATCAGGATGCTTTCCAGGTTTGTAACTTGGGTGAACTGTGTGAGTAGTGGTGCCAACAACTAATTCAGCAAAGGTAGGAAAAGGAGGAGGAGACAATTTAGAGGGAAAGATAATGAAGTCTGTCTCGGATTTTGAGTGTTTAGGTGGAGCTGTCCATCAGGCAGTCGTCTACATAAGGTTAACGTTTAGGGAACACGTTTGAACTGAGGATGAGATCTGAAAGTGATCCACTGAATAATGGAGGCTGAAACGACCGGAGTGAACAGGATCGCCCTAGCCAGTATGTATGAGCAGTAGCAAGCTAAGGCAGGTACCCTGGGCATAACAGCAGTTAAGGGGCAGAGAAGAAAGGATAAAGGATGCACAGCCACAGGAGAATGTCATCACAGACCTTAGAGAACAGTTTCAAGAAGGATAAACTGATCTACAGGGTCAATTATAGTAGAGAGGCCTAGTGAGATTAGAACTGAGAAAAACCTGTTAGATTTGGCAATTGTTCATGGATAACTTATTGTGAGAATTATGGAATCACTGGGAAGGTGGAAAGAGTACAGGGCAATGAGTGGAAGAGTGAAGAGATGCATATACCAATGTGGTAAAACTATAGAGAAGAGCAAGGAAGTGATTACCCACAAAAGCCAGGACGGTGGTTACTTTCATTGGGGAGAGAATAGTGCACAGAGGGTTTGGGGATAGATGCAATTTTCTATTTCTTGAACATAGTGGTGTTATATAACTTGAGTGTGTTCCATAACTAATTTATTAACTTGTACACGTTTAATGTACTTTCTATCACGTATATTACAATTCATAATCAGACATGTTAAAAAATGGAATAGAAGCTGTAGAAAAGGAGACAGTAGGTACATATGATGATTTTAAGAAGGGGCAGAATAAGATGGGGCAGTACTTAGTAGGGGGATTTGGTAGAGTTTGTTATTAGCATGGGAGAGAACTGAACCGTGTGAAAGCTAGCAGAGATGGAGAAGTTGAAACCAGAGGAGAGAAAGGAGAAGACGGATTGAGCAAAACCCGTGAGGCATCAGGGGCTTTAAATAAAAGGAGAAAAACCTAATCCCCCTTCTCACCCTTTCCCCATTTTGTTTGTTTGTTTGTTTGTTTGTTGTTTTGAGTACCGAAGAATGAGAATAAACTTGGGTAAGTTTATTTCTAAAGTTCTTTATTCGGATCCTATATAAAACGAAAATACTGGCCTGCCAACTAATTTTGTTGTTGTTTAGTGTAGTTAACAGGTGGTTTGTGGAGGTTTTATTTTCTTGACATAGGAAAATAATTTACAGGTTATAGAAATCTTCAAACAACTTTACTTTTAGCTCCTATTTCCTAAAATAGAATACTGGAGGATGACAATAGCCTGAAAGATCTTTTCTGCTGAAAATGACTACAAATACTCTACAAAATGGCATTTACAACCTCAGCTATTATTAATTGAGATATAATAAAAAAACACAACTAACAAATGTCTTATATTCTCCAACAAATAAATGTGGTTCATGAATTAAGACTAGCTAAAAGTCATTAAGCGTAGTTTTAACAAGTATGCACATAAGCATGTACTCATTACAGTGGTTTACAAACTAGATCAGACAGTAGGGTACCAAGAAGACAAAAAATTATTAAGCAGAAATGATTTTTCCATCTGAAAAGGTAACTATGTTATTTGATGTGACACAAAATCTAACCGTGAGCACATGTAGTTTAAGAGAAAGAAATAAAACCAAAAGAAATGGTGTCATGGATGTGACAGTAGAACAGATAATGTTTCAAGGATGAAGATGTCAAAAGCTACAGATGAAGATGACAAAATCCACTGGACTTAACAATCAGGAAGTTGTGTGGGACTGAAAACTGTTGTGAGTAGTTTCATTTGAGGGGTAGAGGCACAAGTCAGATTGTAATGGGTTCAAGTACAAAGATGCTGAAGAATAGAACATAGATGACTTTTTCAAGAAACTAGACTATGTATAGGAGGAGGGAAGGGGACAAGTAGAGCAGAATATAAGTCCAAGGATGCCTCTATCAGTGACATTTACCAGTACTGGGCACATGGCATGAGCATATGCATGTATTTTCCCATTAACTTATTAAAAAGATACTGAGTACCTAATACACACCAATTAGTGTTCTACAATTAGGTAACTGAGAAGTGAGCAAGACAAAAACCATTGTTTACATCTCCATGGTAGAAGATAGACACACACACAGACACACAGACACACACACACGTCAGATAGTAATAAATGGCATGCAGGCAATCAAAATAGAGTTATGGGAATGAGAGTGAATGAGTTTTGGGGAAACTCTCACTGGGGTGGTATTTAAGAAAAAAACAAGTATCTGGTGACTCAAGAAATGGTATTGTAGGCATAAGGCATGGGGAACAAGTAGTGCAAAGCCCTAAAGTGGGCATAAGCTTGCCATATTTCAATATCCGAAAAACGTCTGTGAACTTGGAAGTGTGGTGGGTGAAGGAAAAGCAGGAGAAGAGGAGATTCTAGAGGTGGAGAGGGGTCAGATCTCTTAGGGCTTTATAAATCAGGGTGATGAGCGTTGCATTTATTTTGAGCATTGCATTTATTTTAAGTGACATGAGAAGGTAGTTTGAAGCTAACAGTAGGTGCTCAATAACTAGGTGGCAACTGTTAGTAGACTAAAACTGATGATAAAAAGAATACACACTCCCGAATAAATGTTCTCTAAAAAACTGATGTGTTTATAAATTTTTCTATTTATGTTTGTGCAAATACATGGCAATTTATCTCTGATGCAAGATTTCTAGATTCATTGATGAGAAAGACAATATGCTATGTTTATTCCACTTGAAAAAGAGATTCCATTGGCTCAAATCCTATGCAAAAAGACAAGATGAATTGGGAAGTAATGATGAGCGGGGGCTGGTGAGAACCAAATTAGCAGGGATATCCAGACTGGAGAACTTGACTTAATAGGTATGGATACAAATAGAGACTTCCTCATGGGAGGGGCCATCTATACTCCCACAGCAATTCTGGTATCTCTTTAGAGTACAGAGTGCAGGGAAAGTCACGCTACTACACAGCTGTCCAGTGGTTCACTCCCATCATCTTTTCTCAGAGTAAAAGCCACCTTTATTTAATACTGCCACTGTGCTCCTTATCTCCCTTTCCCTTTTCACCTTCTAATGTACTAAACTGGTTATTATGTTTCTTATCTGCCTCCCCACTGCTAGAATGGAAAGTACATGAGGGCAGGAATCTTTGTTTGGTCCACTATTTACCCTTATGCCAAGAGTCTAGAATAAATGTTGGCAAACTATGGCCCACAAGTCAAATCTGGCCTGTTGCCTGTTTCGATATGGCTCACAAAGTAAGAGCAGTTCCTACATTTTCAAACGAATAAAAAAATCAAAAATATTTTGCAACACATAAAAATTACATGAAATTTAAAACTCAGTGTCTGTAAGTAAAGTTTTATTGGAACACAGCCAGGCACAGGTTATCAGTGGCTACTTTTCACGCTACAGGGGCAGATTATGAAAGAGACCATATGGCCTGCCAAGCTAAAATATTTACTATCTGGCTCTTCACTAGAGAAGTTTGCCAACACCTGACCTAGAACATACTAACTGCTCAATAAATAGGTGCTGAATGAGTAGATGTGAAAGACTGCAAAATTTTAGAGAGTGCAAATGAGTTATGTAGCCAATAAAGGTGCTTTCAGCACTTAAAGGTGCTGAAAATCTCTGCTACTGATTGAGGACACAGAGCAAAAGCTTTATGGAATTTCTCTGACTTTATTTTATTGCCCAAGTTTGATGAATTACTGGTAGTCCCAATGCAGTTCTGTCTGCTTATATCACTCTTCCCCCAGATAAACATGGCATACTCCTTCATCCCTTGGCTTAAATGTCATCTTAGTAAGGCTTTCCTGACCATCGTATTTAAAATAGCTAGCTCTCTCCAACTGGTGCTTTCTATCCTGCTTCGCTTTTTTTTTTTTTTTAACTCCATGGCATCTGACATACTATATATTTTACTTGTTTTGTCTCACAGGGATTTTCTGTTTTGTCCACTGGTGTACCTCAGATCCTGGAAGAGGGACAGGCTTGTAGTAGTAGTTCATTAAATATTAATAAATGAATAATGAGGTAATGCATATATGAAGTACATGGCCCATAGTGAGCATCTAATACATTTTAGTCACTAAAAGACAACCTGTAAAATTATGCTTTGATATATTAAAAAGCCTGAATAAATTAACACAACTTCCTAAGTGTTTCCCCTACTTAACATTGAGAGTATGGTGCATGTTCTGGCAGAATCAGGAAGGAGTTAGTAATACAGAGAACAAGAATTCAGTCTTAACAGTATCAGGGATAAAGAGATATTTTTTAATTGAGATTTTAAAAGCATGGTTCATGTTGAAATTTATTTTATTTTAAAGTAATCTCATTCAAAAAGCCTCAAATTTAGCCCCACTGTTCATTTATGATCCCAGATGAAGAACAAACATTTTGATGTTTGTTCATCTGAATAAATCTCACTAGTTAAAAACTTCCATTATTACTAATAAAAACAGCAACAGTATTTATATTGTGCTACGACATTCTAAACTGTTTCACAATAATTAATTAGTAAATGACACGACAAACGCTATCTACGTACTCTCATTTTAATAAACTATCATGTACCAGGACTTAATAGGAATGAAATCAGCCTAGATCTTACCTAATTAGAGAACATTTCTGTATTCGAATACAGTAGTGAAAACTCAATAACAATTTCCAATGGACAAATTTTCA